TTTTTTTTTTTGTAAAAATCCAAATAAATTGCACTTACGAGAGGTCTTCCCCAGTACCAAGATTTGACTCGTTGCGTTAAACCACCTAAATGTGATCGTAATCCATCTAAGTAGCTCCCCTGGAAAATTTAACGTACACAACAACACACACATGTATGGAATAGCACCGATGAAAGTTGGTAAAGTTTTTTTTTTGTTTGTTTTGAAAATATAACGAAAGTGGATTTTCGGGATGTGGATGATTCGGGGATTGAATAAAATAAGGAAAACTTCACTAGAATATGAGTATTTCTAATAAACGTCTGTCTACGGTAAAGGAAAGTTCTAAACTGGGACTATTCAAAACAGAAGTGAAATCAATGCTAAGTATAAAACGATGTTTTTTTATTCTATTAAGTCCTATTCTAGCCTTTTAATCATTTGAATGTCTATTGCTATGTCTAGCTTTTGAAAAAGTTACAATATTCTAAAACAGAGCAATGATAAACACTATAGCAGTTTGGAAGAGATTCTACGTATATTTGGTCACCTATTTCAGCTAAGGATGATTTCGAACGTGTTTTTGTAAGCCTGGTGTCTTCTTGTCTATAACCTATCAGTTCCAATCCTTTCCTATCCTATCCAATCATTAAGCTGAGACTCTGTGCCTATTCTGAACGAGTGTACTCTCTGCAATGGGCCTAACTGGAGTCCCTAAGCAGGTTTGGTGGACAATCCTTTTAATAATTGTTTTTTTTTTAATATTCTTACCATTACATGAAATCAGAACGAAAAAGTATATAATCAAGAATGGAAGTATGTATCATACGGAAACCAATGAAATCAAACGTCATATTTAGCACAAAACACTTGCAAAGCACGAATCAGTTCGCTTACCTGGTCCTGATGGAAGAAAGCATGAAACGAATCGAAATAGTTAGTTTTCAGGTATGGAATGAGGAGACTTTATTTTGAATTTTTGGAAACGCTTTCTTCAAAACCTTCGGGTTGTTATTACCTGTTATTTGTCAAAACCTGTTCTGGGAATTTCGTAAAATATAGGTAGTTTTGTTGCTTCTCGCAAAATAATAGACCATATCATCAGCAAAACCGATAACTTCGAAGCTTTCTTCCACTAGTTTATTGAGAAGATCATCAACAACAAGTGACCATAATAAGGGTGGCAATACAAGATGACACACCCTAGTAGTTTTATAGTTATAGATGATTCTCCCAATTATTCAGCATTTCCATAATCCAAGCTATAATTCAAGGATCAACGTTCCTTTTTTCCATTGAGCTTTTTATAGCTTTGTATTTTTTCTATTCTCTTTATTTTAGTGAATTTTGGCCATTGGCTAGTTTTACACTTAGTTTATAGATTTGTAGGATGTATAATCAAAAGCTCCCACACAATTTCTTTTTTGTCAAGAGTATTTTCTACTTTTGCAACCAGTTTATGTAAAGCTATGTGACTGTAGATCTGTTTGATTGGTAATCAAATTAAGATCTGTTAAGAGGACTCAACTCCAGTATAGCGTATACTGCGTGTTGATGAACATCATAAATCATTGGTGCTTGTGATTGAAACTGCAAGCGAATGTGAAATTTCCCGTCATGTACGATGGACTGTTGAGGATAAAATTCCCGGTAGGCGTGAAAATTGTAGGTTTTGCCGACGATGTCACGCTGGTAGTCTGCGGGGAATCCCTCGAGGAGGTAGAGCTGACAGCGGCTCACTGCGTCAGACTTGTGGAGGAATGGATGAGAACCAGGAAACTGGAGCTCGCCCATCACAAGACGGAAGTGGTCGTAGTCAACAATCGCATGTCAGTACAGCATGCGACGTTGACAGTCGGCGGAAGCACAATTAGGTCTGTGCGCTCTCTAAAACTCTTGGGGGTTATGCTCGACGATAAGCTCAGCTTCGGCTGCCACGTCGAGTACGCCTGCAAGAGAGCGTCTACGGCTGTGGGGGCATTATCCCGTATGATGTCTAACAGCTCGGCAGTGAATGCCAGTAAGCGCAGGCTCCTCGCTGGGGTCGTAGTATCTATCCTCAGATACGGTGGCCCTGCGTGGGCTGCGGTACTGGATATTGACTGCCTCAGGCAGAAATTAGAGAGTACACACAGGCTAATGTGCTTGAGGGTGGCCAGTGCATACCGCACTATCTCGAGAGAGGCCGTCTGTGTCATAGCAGGGATGACGCCAATCTGCCTTATCATTAAGGAGGATGTGGTGTGCTATGACGCGAGGACCGTTCGAGGGGTGCGCAACAACGCGCGAGTTGTGTCGACCGCGAGATGGCAATCGGAGTGGAAAAACTCCACAAAGGGGAGGTGGACTTACCGCTTGATACCTTCCGTATCAAGCTGGGTCAACAGGCGCCATGGGGAAGTAAACTTCCAACTGACACAGTTTCTGTCAGGCCATGGCTGCTTTAGGAGTTACCTGCATAGGTTCGGATATGCAAGTACTCCCATCTGCCCCACATGTGCTGGCGTCGAGGAGACCGCCGAACACGTTGTGTTCGCCTGTCCACGTTTCGAGCCAGTATCGAGCGCTATGCTAGCGATATGCGGAACGGATACCAGTCCGGATAACATCGTTCCTAGGATGTGTGGTACCACCGAGAACTGGAGCGCGGTGGTGACTGCGGTCACCCACATAGTTTCGGTATTACAACGACAGTGGCGAGCCGAGCAGCAGTTACCTTTTGCCCGACTAGATCGTTAGAGTATTGCTTGAGAGCCGCCATAGCGCTACAGCGGCCCCTCCCACGAAGTAATGCCTTCGGGCGGTTCCGGAGAGGTCAAGGTCCAAGCGCACAAGGTAAGGTTTAGTGGGTCGGGAGTGAAATTCTCCCATCCCCACACCCTAAGTTCCTTCTCAGGTGTCTGTGAGCAGATTCCTCCCTGTATGAAAAAAAGGTGAGCCTGTCAACGATTCTCCGTTCACCTCAAAGGAACTTGTGACGCTCGTGGCCGAGGTCATCATTATCATGCGCACCTGCAAGACTCGATCAGAACAGCTGCATGCTGCCCTGTTTCTTGTCACTAAGTATGGACCGTGAAGCCATCAAGATCGTAAATTGAATGCTTGCTCCTTGAAGAGCAAAAACATCGAGTTTGTTGACTTTCTCAACGAACGGCACATCGACATAGCCGTCATCACCGAGACTCTCTTGAAGCCCGAGCTGAACGTCTTCTTACCCGGCTTTCGGCTCGTAAGGCTTGACCGTATCAGTTCCGGGGGAGGAAGAGTGGTCATCGCTGCGCGACGGAACATCAGCTGCCAGCTACTGCCAAGCTTCCAGCTGAAAACTATCGAAGCCATCGAAGTTGAGGTGAGCACATCGCTTGGTCCAATCACCATCATCGCGGTCTACTGCCCTAAGCAAACCAACATTAGGGACGGCTTGGCTGCAGACCCCCGAAGAGACATCATCAAGTTAACACGACGGCGGCAAAATTTCATCATCGCTGGCGACCTGAACGCCAAGCATCAAGTATGGGGCAATAGTCGGCGAAACCAGATTGGCACAATCTTGTACAACGATCTGCAGGAAGCCCACTACAACATCCTGTGTCCAGACACTCGCACCCGGTTGAGTCGATCCGGAGCTCATGCCACCATCGACATCTTTATCAGCAACATTGGCGATAACATCTCTCAACCTATCGCCTATCAGGAACTGAGCTCGGACCACTATCCGGTGGTGGCCGAAGTAGGTTCCTCTGTCAATAGGTTTCAAGTTTCTCGGCGAAATTACCATCGTGTCAGCTGGCAGCAGTACCAGCGCTGTGTGGACACAGCAATCGACTACGACGTCCTACCGGAGTCGTTCGAAGAAGTCGTGCAAACCATCGAAGAGGCGATATCCCGTGCCAGGAAGTAACACGTACCAGCATCCAGACAGGAGAGTCATACTCTGAACCTTGACAGCCCAACCTAAGATCTTATCAGGCTCCGTAACACCATTCGTAGGCAGTTCCAGCGTTCTGGGCTGCCCCACTTGAAGACCAATGTCAATAGGCTAACCAAAATTATCCAGGCCAGGATGGTGGAACTCAGAAATAACGATTTTGCCAACAAGATTCGCTCTCTCCCAGATTGTGCAAAAGCATTTTGGAAGATGACCAAAATTTTGAAAAATTAGTCAAGACCGATCCCTCCGTTTTCCTCTGTTGATCAGAACTCGGACCCACCCCTGCTCATAACCCCAGTTGAAAAAGCCAATGCTCTTGGCCAACATTTTGTGATTTCACATAATCTTGGCCAAACCATGGTGAGCCCCCATGGGCCTGCCGTACTGGAGGCAATGACTAGAGTCGCTGACACCCCCGTAGTAGTGCAGGATGATAGTAGTATATCGGCTGATGAGGTGATAACAGCTGTTAGAAACACTAAAACATGAAGGCCATGGATGGTGTAGTCAACCTCGAGTTGAAAAACTTGAGTATTGACTTCTTCAGTAGATCTCGGAATACAACCAACACTCCGCTCGATTTCAATGGAACATACAGGTTTTCACTATTATGTTCGATAAGTTTTCCCGTATTTATCTTTGCTAGTTCATTTACAATGTTGATAAATTTGATAGATGTTACTTAATTGATTCTTATAAAAAAAAAACAGCGACTGCAAGATCTTAAAGGTGTTCATCAACAATTGTTTTTTTTTTTCAGTTCAGAAGCATTTTGACGTTCCACTGCAATCGGCAATATTGCGGATCCACAGAAAAAATGACCGAGATTTCAAATAAATCTGATGTTAATTTAACTGTTATGATTGTTAAAAATTGAATTTAAAATATACATTTTAAATGTTATATTAAAGCATTTGGATTCAGTCTCCCTTGTTGCCTCACCCCCCGCACTTTACTTTACTAATGATCCTTTAACTCTGCTGTTTATTTCGAAGAATGGTTGGACTTAAATTGTTGTGATTTCTTTACTTTAGTAAATTCAACGTTGAATATCGTTTATCTAGTACACACAGTTACAAATAATCCTTACCGAGTCATAGTCCGCCCTCGATAGCTGAGTCTCGCTGCCTCTCCTAGGTCGTGACGGATCATTGTAATCCTGCAAGGAATCGGAAAAACAAAACACACACAAAGAAAACACAAATTGAGTATTTCAATCATTTAGGTTCGTTATGATTCATTATGCAGCTCATTAGGAGGTCAAGAGGTTTTTCATTCGAGAAGATTTGCTCAAGAGCTTCTTTTCTGTTTTGTTCAGAGTAGGTAGGTTGTGTTGAGTGGTGAAATGTTAGGAAATTCAAAAACGCACTTTCGAAAACGGACAAACATTAGTTGATTGGTGTTTGTTTTTGACAGTTAACAGTAGTGGGATGTGACAGTGTTGGTTGTGTCGTTGGCAAAGTATAATGGTAAACAATAAACAACTTCCTATCTAATTTTGATTTCTGCTCTAAACATCGAAACGGATCTATGCCTAACAGTTAGATGGGAATCTGTATTTTTTTTTATTGGGTGAAATGTGGTCCCTGTCAGAGTTGCGTGTTCTGGATCTGTGACTGTAGTGTTGATTTTGATTTTGCTCTCTGTTGGACTGGTCTGCTGTCAGTCAGTTTTGACAGGATTGGTCCGAGGAAAAATCGAAACTTGTCCGCGGTTCCGAGGAAAATCAAATCGCTTCTAATCACCTTATTCTTCAACTGTTTGACAACGTCGCTAGACGACGAGGAGATTTTGTGTCGATTCGGGTGATACAGAGGATTGAGGCCGAGGACACCGGCTGGCGGTGAGGCGGCACCAAGGCCACCGAACGCGACACGATTCGGCGTTCCGCCGCTGCCCAGATCCGCCAGGTGGCTCTGCGATGTATTGAGATGACGGGACGATGACGACGATGTTGGTGGATGATGGTGGAGAATCGGTCCGGCCGACATGGGGCGATACGGCAGTGGTGCCGGTGGACTGCGCAGCGTTTTGTTGATTCAAAAGGGTAAGATTTTTGATTTTTTTTTTGTTGATAAATTAAAAATAAAATGAGTAAATAATTGGTCAAATGAAAGAAAGTAAGTAAGGAGAAAACTCAGTACCGATTGCGAATGTCCGGGGTGGTCCCGGCTGCTGCCGCTGAATTCGATGCCCCTGCCGCCACTGCACCGGGGTCGTCTGCCAGACCTCGGCCTGTCGCTTCGATCACTTCCAGATCCGTGTCTGAAACCTGCAATGGGGAATGGGATGGGAAGATGGACATTCTGAGACTGCTTTGACTCCGGGCGGGCCTCTGCACGACGTTCCGTCGACAATGTGGCGTCGCTTTGATGAAAGACTATGCGTGAAGTGGTGAGGTGTATCTCCTAGAGGCGCCAAGTTGCAAATCTACTAAATTTCTCAAGACTACAGAATCGGATTTGGTTGAGTAAAATCAAAACAGTGGCATTCCCATTCCATCTACAGGTGTACAGTGGAGGCATTCCTGCTCTAACTATGAGAACAGCGGAGAGCGTGAGTAGAGCAATATGCATTACTAAAGAAATGGCGAATTTCTTTCCATCCATCTCTGTATTTACACGGAAAGAAAAATTGCAAGACTGAAAAACGAGCGAGCGGAGAATTTACAGCCAGCGATCTATTCTACCGGAATAAAGAGAAAACTTTGCTGAAACACTTGTTAAGTCGAAGAAAAAACAGTGAAGATTATGAAAAAGGAGTAGGTTTACAACGTGAGCAAGCAGAAAAGTACCGAGATTAAAAAAAATACTAGCGGAAAGTGTCTACACCAAGCTGCGAAAGGGTTTGCTTTTTTTAAATTTTGCGCGAGAGCAAATTTGAATAAAATAGAAGGTTAAAAGTTCAATTTCATTAAGTTGCAATTAGTGTGTGTATTTTGTGACGGGTGTGGTGTTTGTATCTACTGTGGTGAAGCTGTGCGTGTGGTTTTTTTTTTCTAAAATCTACTATTGGTACGATAAATGTGATCTATCTAAGTGCGATTTTTTGTTATAATAATGACTGTTCTTTAATCTACACTCAAAACCAAATTGCGGTAAACGTTTTCATTTGTTTAATTTTGAATGTAGATTTCTATTTTGCCTATTTATTTTCCAACTAGTCTTCATCAGACAATCAACCATCGAGCGTTCGTATCACAATTCCACCTTGAACTCCATTTTGATTTTTTATTATAACCCGAATCGAGAGTCATAAAAAACGCTGCGCCTGCTTCACCCAATCAAAGTCGAGAACTCACGGGGCTTTCCGTGTTTTTTTTTTGTTTTCACTCCTCACACGATCAAAAACCGTCGTCATCCAATGGTGGCGAGGCAATTTCGAAGAAATTGTACATAAAGGCTGACGATGTAAACATAAAAAACGCTCGCCTTGTTGCAGAAGGGGGAGAATTTTTGTTATTACGCCATCTCTCCATCTGCCTTCATCGGAGTGCGGAGTGGCGGCGGTCGTGAGCACATAACAAAGGAACTCAACCGCTGCCTCTAGCATAATCAAAGCCATGTAGCAAGCTGCGTTTCCCCCTTGGATTTAATTTTTTTCGGTTGATGTTTTGTTGGTAGGCACACTCACGCACACCGAGTCGGAAAATGCTTTGTTAGCAAAACATTCGGAAACTAGGGTTAGGTTTTTTTCTCTCGTGCCTGATGTCGTCTGCACGTCTTCGTTGTCGTTTTGTGCGCTTCCTTCATACAAGGAGAGAAGATTTTCCCCCACCTTATGCTGGTTGTACGGATTTTCCCTTTTTTATGTGAGCCTGTAAAATATAGGCGATGGATGGTTTTGTTGGTCCATGTTGTGGGGACGCTTAGCATCGTACTTAACTGAAGCCAAGGGATGTTCAATATAAACCACACTCATAAAATAAATCACATAACCGATGGAAGATATCCATGTGAATTTCACATAACTTTCATGAGATCCCATAATTGGAAATTGCACCACTAAATCACATGAACGGTATGTCTCCAATGAAATCTATATGATTTCTCACTTAGAATGTCTTATGCTGTGTGATATTCAGAAAAAAATCATTCATTTTGCTATTGGAATTGCCAAGCTAAAACGATTTCAAATTAGGACCTGATCATTTTCTTAAAATTTGAGCTCATTTGGATTCTCATGTATACTTATACTGCACTGGCTTTTCGAAGTTTATATGGGAAATGTAAACTTTTTATTCTCCTAGTCCTAGCCATTTGGCATAATCATTAAGTCATTCAAAGTGTTTTTATATTGCTTCATACACGAAGCTTGCGATTTTCAGAGTTGGTTGGAAATGCTATTTAACATGAAGCTTTAGTGCGATAATTTATTAGCTAGAGAATGGTCTCAAAAGAGGGTAGGTAGATAGTTCCGTTAGAGTACGGCAGTATGAAAATTGAATAGAAGTTGAAAATGAGCGAAGGACCGTTAATGCAACAATCCAAGTCTCTTAAAATCGCAAACTTCGCGTATGAAGTAACATAAAAACACTTTGAATGTAACAACTCAAGGCGGGACTAGCCGTCAACAATAATGTTGGATAAAGAAGAATTGCACTATAACACGCCACCGACTGAAAATGCTTTCGGCAACGTGGGGCTTTAGGTAATGATGAAACGTCACTAGAACTATTCCACAGCCACAGGCAGTATTTGAGCAAAGTCAGGTGCAAACTTTTTGCCTGAGCTTTGTTTTGCTTACGTCTTCAAATATATTTCAAATCTCCGCGTACATCGTACGGGTTAGGCAAAGAGTGTGCGTTTGACTTGCACTGTCGCATTAATGGTCCTTCGCTCATTTTCAACTTCTATTCAATTTTCATACTGCCGTACTCTAACGGAACTATCTACCAACCCCTTCTAAGACCATTATCTACACACTTAGGAAAAAATCATGTACATTTAGGTGCTCTGAGACTGACGAGCGTCAATTTTGACATAGACGCGAATTCAACTCAATCAAATGTACTTTTCGTCGAGTAACGAGCATTTCAGTCTCGGAGCACTTAATTTTACATGAAATATTTGTGTACGTCTGATCCTATAAGTCAAAGATGGATTCCGTCACATCTAAAATTAGTTATTTTTAAGTGTGTAGCTAATAAATTATCGCACTAAAGCTTCGTGTTAGATAACATTTCCAACCAACTCTGATAATTATAAAGGGGTAAGTTTGTTATCTTTTGACGTAGACTACGTCTTACAGGAAGGTACAGGGGGTAAATCGAAAATCTTAAATTGCAACCGTCATGAATATGCGTTAGGTTTCGAACGCTTATAACTTTGTTATTTATAGGTAAAATTAAAATCCAAATACACCAATCGATAGGAAATGCATGTACACATCTGATGTATTTCATCATTCTCATTTATAAAGTTTTGATAATTGTACAAATAAAATATAACAATGTTATAACTGTTTTCAAGAAATAAACGTTTTGCCTAACTCAGTTGTCAAAATCAAGTACCATTTGGTTGCGCATGGTTCTGATTGAACTTGTAAAGCTATAAAAGAGCGTTGCTGTAGCTCCACCGCTCACGTTCGTATCGTCACCAGCGGCAAAAGGTGAAATGTCTCCCTCTCTCTCTGCCATCGTGTAAAGGGTGTCCACGATGAAATTGCCACACACAAAATTGATTCGCAAAATTCGAGTTTTCATCCGATTGCCATCAAATTTTCAGGGATTGAGAAATAACTATTAAACTTCATTTTACCATTTTACTCGTATTTTATTTACAGTCCATACGCAAATGCCCGCACCTTGGCCTTAACCCCGGACATAAGATTCTGCAAAACCTGTGAATCAACCGTTTTTTGCATGTAAACCCATACTTTCTTCAGTTCCTCGACTGTCTTCACTACCTTAGGTCGTTTAAGAAGGTGCTGCTTCATAATCGCCCAGTACTTCTCGATGGGGCGGAGCTCCGGAGTGTTGGGAGGGTTGAACATTTTCGGCACGAAATTGACCTTATTGTCCGCATACCACTTCAGCACGTCCTTGGAGTAGTGGCATGAGGCCAAATCCGGCCAGAAGATTGTTGGGACGTTGTGGGCCTTCAGGAGAGGAAGCAGCCGCTTCTGGAGGCACTCTTTTATGTACACCTGTCCGTTCATCGTGTCCTGGGTCACGAAAGGTGCACTCCGCTTCCCGCACGTGCAGATGGCTTGCCAAACCAGGAATTTCTTCGCAAATTTGGACATCTTCTGAGTGCGGACATGCTCCGGAACGCTGAACTTATCCTTGGCCGTGAAAAACAGGTTGCCGGGGATCTGTTTGAAGTCGGCCTTCACATATGTTTCGTCGTCCATGATGCAGCATTCAACTTTCGTCAGCATGTTGAGGTACAACTTCCTGGCACGGGTTTTGGCGGACTTGTTCTGCTTTTCGTAGCGATTAGGGGCTTTTTGTACCTTGAACGTTCGAAGCCCAGCCTTAGTTTTGGCCTTCTGGACAAAACTTCGGCTTAGGTGCAGCTTCTTAGCCACATCCTTAACGGAGGCGTTCGGATTTCGGTTGAAGGCCCCAACTACGCGGTTGTGATTTTTGGTGTTGTACGGAATACTTTTTCCTTCACTTCTGGGTTTCCGATCGGTGGTCAACCGTTCCTCGAACCGCTTAATCACTCGCGACACCGTGGAATTCGCGATTCCCAACGTTTTAGCGATGGAACGATGCGAGAGATCCTTGTTCTCGTGATGAATGCGCAAGATTTTATCACGCACGAGCTGTTCTTTCGACTCCATTTCCGCGAGTTTTGATCACAGGACTTTAAAACTTGCAGGATGTAAATAATGCACTATGAACTAAATCCATCCAAATTTTCATTAAATTCTACCCAACGGTTAAAAAGTTAGAGCAATTTCATAGTGTGGCAATTTCATCGTGGACAAAGTTCCTCGCAGCGGACGGCGTAATGAATGGATCACCTTGACAACCAGCGGTGGGGTGGAAGAAGACTCACCTCTTCAACGAGCTGTTTTTGCATTAAGTTCAATCTGCACCTTCCCGGTATCATCTGATCCGACTGGCGATTTTCTATATATATATTAATGGAGAGTCGATCGGATGATATCGAGTAGATGTGCGATGAGCTTTAAGTTAAAAACGATGTCGTTGTACCGAAGCTAATTTTCGCATCGGACAATGTCGTGAACCGATCGCCTGAGCAACTAGTAGCAGCAGTATCTCCAACAGCAGTAAGAAGTGGAGCCTTTTGGCTCGAATTG